ACACACACAGGAGGCAGTTCTGTACTGAACACGCATCACACACAGGAGACAGTTCTTACTTGTGCAGTGCAGATCTGGAGAGGGTGATGGCAGGAGAGCGATTTGAGAGCTGCAGGACAGAGAGAGAGACCAGAGTCTGTTCTCTCCTGGAGGAACAAGCAGCACATGCAAACATGAGCCCAGAATAGAGGCCCTGATTTGAATCTGTTCCTCTGATCTCCAGCCACCGATTCATTTCCTTCTCTGATCTCTCTCCTTGTCTCTCGCATCCTTCTTCCTTTTTTCCGTGCCACTCTCTTTTCAAATTTTATTGCCAGATTATTTTTGTGTGACCTGATGCTGACCTCTGACCTTTGCAGGTCACAGACGTACAGCGCTAATGAGATCGACATCATTCTGGCGGTTGACACAGGCAAAACCATAGAATGGGTGGACATTGACCCTGAAGCCTTCACTGGTACATACTTCTATACGCACAGTGTGAACTATATAGTGCATAGCATACACACTGTATACAGACTGTACTCACTGTACACACTGTATAGACACAGTGTTTACAATATTTTGAAATTATTGTGAGCAATGTGTTGACGTTTTCTTCAAGAAGCTGCAGTATCAGACCTGGTGGGAGGGGTTTGGGGTGTAAGCATAAAATGGATCTCTCAGCTGTAGCCAATGGTGGCCTGGCTCACACTTGATTGACATATCATCTCTCCACAGAGAATGGGGAATGGGCAATCAGGCACCGCCCTGCCCGCAAGGTCATCAACAGGAGGTACACTCCTGATGATCTGGAGTACCAGGAAGTGCACTTCAATCTCATCATCCAGCGGAAGCCCCTGTTCTACATCATCAACATCATCGTGCCATGCGTGCTCATCTCCTCGCTAGTTGTGCTAGCCTACTTCCTGCCTGCACAAGGTCAGACAGGAAGTTGCATGCTTGCACCTCATACCCCCTCTCTCCTGGTCCCAGTTCCTCTTCCTCTGTCCCAATCCCTCTCTTCTGGTCCTAACCCCTCTCTCCTGGTCCCAGTTCCTCTCCCTCTGTCCCAAGCCCTGTCTCCTGGTCCCAATACCTCTCCCTCTGGTCCCAGCCCCCCTCTCCTGGTCCTAATCCCTCTCCCTCTGGTCCCAATCCCTCTCCCTCTGTACCCAATCCCTCTCTCCTGGTCCCAGTTCCTCTCCTTCTGTCCCAATCCCTCTCTTTTGGTCCTAACCCCTCTCTCCTGGTCCCAGTTCCTCTCCCTCTGTCCCAAGCCCTGTCTCCTGGTCCCAATACCTCTCCCTCTGGTCCCAGCCCCTCTCTCCTGGTCCTAATCCCTCTCCCTCTGGTC